TGAAATTTTGTGAGCGTATTGAGTAGGTCTGAGAATCGGTCAACATCTATTTTTCATCCCCCTAAATGTTAGGGGTAGTCCACCCCTAAATTTTTTTTTTATTTTTTAGACAAAATTTTTAGTTTCTATTTTTTTATGATACAACATACAAAAATACATACAATTCTAAATTTTCACCCTTCTATCATCAACCCCTATTTTTTTATAGCGTTATTAATTTATATGGTAAAACAACGTTTACCGGGACAGCTAGTCTTATATATAAAATTCTCGTGTCACAATGTTAGTTACCATACTCCTCCGAAACGGCTTGACCGATTTTTAAGAAATTTTATATGCCTGTTCAGTAAGTCTGAGAATCGGCTACTATCTATTTTGCATACCCCTAAGTGATAAAGGTTGTCCACCCCTGGCATATGTATATTTTTTTATTTGTTGGACAATTTGTATGATTTTATAATGTTGCGTTAAAAATTCATACAACTCTAAATATAAAATAGGGGTATTTTGGGGGCTGTTTTTTAATAGCGATTTTAATTTATATGACGAAGCAAAGTTTGCGAGGTCAGCTAGTCTATACATCTATACATATAAATAAAATTGGAGTGTCTGTTTGTAATATTGAAATAACTGTTACTACGTGCATATAAATTTAAACACGGTACATACACCAAAAATCCACTTATTATAATTTTTGTCTATCTGTCTGTTGGTCTGTTTGTTCCGACTAATCTCAGAAATGGCTGCACCGATTTTGACGGGACTTTTTTTGGCAGGTATCTGATATATTAAGGAGTAACTTAGGCTACTTTTTACTTAGACGAATTCGCGGGAACAGCTAGTATTGTATATAAATATAAAATTGTCGTCGCCGTGTTCTCGACTGACTTTGACTGTTGGTTGTGTTTGACCTGTATGTCTATTTGTATGTAGATTATAGTGAAAACTCACCAAAACCGGTCAACGATTTTCACGCTCTTGTTAAAGTTATTCACTGGCGAACGATCGCAACGTGAGCGGTATGTGGCTGATTTAAAAACTAAGAAACTATTATAATTGCGAAAATTGACAGTTTGTCTGTCACGTACATACAGAAACATTTTTTTTAATTTGTATTGATTCAAACTAAATGAATCCGAAGAAGTGATTTCCTCACGCTTGCGGTTTTCCACAGCCAGGAATAGGCGAGTTGGCTGGCGAAGGGGGGCGGGGGGCGAGGGAAGATAGATATACATTATTGGTATTTTTAAGTGGTGAATGCATCTTATATATAAAATTCTCGTCTCACAATGTTAGTTACCATACTCTTTCTAAACGGCTTGACCGATTTTTATGAAATTTTATTATGCATATTCAGTAGGTCTGAGAATCGGCTACTATCTATTTTTCATACCCCCATGTGATAAGGGTTGCCCACCCCTAACATTATTTTTATATTTCTCGGGCAATTTTTTTTTTGTATGTGTCATTAAAAAATACATTCAACCCTAAATTTTCACTTTTCTATCACCAACCCCTATTTTTAAAAAGCGATATAAGCATCTGAATTTATATGGCAAAAAATCGTTTGCCGGGACAGCTAGTATATTAATATAATTTTGTGTAATTGAGTATATATGTGTATGTCAATAGCGAAAACACAGTGAATCACCCTCACACAAGTGAATTAGGTCATGCGCCGGTTTCATGTCCACCACTATGCACCATACGTATTTGTTGGCCTACCGCAGACATCACTTAATTCATCTATACATACATACATACATACATACATATAAATAAAATTGGAGTGTCTGTTTGTAATATTGAAATAACATTTACTACTACATGCATATGAATATAGAAATAGAAATAGAAATAGAAATAATCTTTATTCAAATAAACTCATTACAAGCACTTTTGAATAGTCATATTTTGATTCTACCACTCATTCGGAATGCAGATTCATCACAAGAAGAATGAGCAAGAAACTTGTGTGTTGCTCTTTTTAATAGATGTTTTTTTTATATAAATAATTACAGTATAACAAGTAAGAGGCATGCGATAATCAACATAAAAGTCGCTACGCACTCATTATTAATGTAATCAGATAATATTGTCAGTGCTATAGATTTAAAGTTTTTCTATAAAAACATTATTATCGTTAACGAATTCTTCAATTTTATAGTAAGCTTTTTTGCAAAGGAACTGTTTTATTTGACATTTAAATCTTTTTTCTGGCAGATTTATAACAGACTCTGGTATTTTATTGTAAAACCTTACGCAATTGCCATAAAACGAATTACTAACTTTAGCCAAACGACATTTAGGTAAAATCAGTTTGTTATTGTTACGTAAGCTTTTATTAGTGCAATCACTAACTCTTTTGAAACTGTCTATATTCCTTCTGGCATAGATGATATTTTCATAAATGTATTGAGAAGCAACGGTTATTTGATTCCTTAAAACACTCTCGCAATGACTCCCTGGAACCCATACCATAAATGGAGCGAATGGCCCTATAAAGTAAATATTGTATTTATATCAGCTGCTTTGCCCCATAACAAAATACCATACGACATAATGCTATGGAAATAGCTAAAATAGACAAGTTTAGCCGTTGCCACGTCTGTTAATTGTCTAATTCTTCTTACCGCGTAAGCGGCAGAACTAAGTCGACTCGCCAATTTAGTAATATGAGCACCCCATTGCAACTTGGAATCTAATGTGATACCTAGAAATACAGTATCGTCAACAAAATTAATAGATTTATTGTCCAATACGATTTTTGAATCTACCGGCCTTACATTGGGGAGAGTAAATTTGATACATTTAGTTTTATTTGCATTTAGTAGCATATTATTTGCCGTAAACCATTTTAAAACATAAGAGAGAGAACCGTTTACTTCGTCCATATCATCAATATGTCGATTGACTTTGAATACTAATGAAGTATCATCAGCAAACAGAACTATGTCAGCTATCTTTTCTACCATATAAGGAAGATCGTTTATGTAAACTAAAAATAAGAAAGGACCTAGAATAGAGCCCTGAGGAACACCCATTTTAATACTAGTTCCCTCAGACTTTACACCATTTATTTCAACAACTTGCATTCTATTATTTAGATAGGATTTCATCATGCATAGTGCTTCATATCTAATACCGTAATATTCTAATTTGAGTAAGAGTGTTTCATGATCAACGCAATCAAATGCTTTTGAGAGGTCACAGAATACACCGATAGCATCCTGTGACCTCTCCCAACAGTCAAAAATGTGTTTCATTAAAGCTACACCAGCGTCAGTAGTTGATTTACCGGCCGTGAAACCAAATTGCCGACTGTGAAGCAGTCTATTTATTTTAAAGTGGTGAAGCATCTGATTGAGCATAATTTTTTCAAACACTTTACTTAGTACTGGTAAGATAGAAATGGGCCTATAATTACCTACTTCAGTTTTATCCCCTAACTTAAAAAGTGGAGTTATTTTACTATGTTTCATTAAATTGGGAAAAACACCGTCAAAAATACATTTATTGAAGATAGTTACTAAATATGGAGCAATAACATCTATAGCGGTGTTAATAACTTTAACAGACATGCCCCAATGGTCTTCAGTATTTTTTAAATTTAATTGTTTATAATAAATACGTTACATACACCAAAATAACATCTTTTACAATTTTTTTATGTCTGGCAGCCTGTTTGTTTGTTACGGCTAATCGCTGATGTAGCTAGACCGATTTTGACGGGACTTTTTTGGCCTGTAGCTGATATAATAAGAAGTAACTTAGGCTACTTTTATTTTCTATGTATATTATGTATGTATTTACAAAAAAATGTATATATGTATTCATATCAGTTGTCCAGTAGACATAACACAAGCTCTGCTTAGCTTGGGACTAGATGGCGCTGTGTGAATTGTCCAGGTCAAGATATTATTATTATTATTGTACCTTTTAAACCGGCACTACACTACCGGCACGACCCAAAAAAAAGAATAATATACATTTATGTATTTATTTCGTAATTTAGCATTACAGAGGAACTCATTACTTAAACAATTAAAACGTTGGCCGTATAAAATCGCGGCTGAAGTACTACTTAATATCATAATAAAAAAAAGTCATAATAAACACGATAGAGAAACAAATAAAATTAATAAATAAAAAATGACGCCGTTGTCCTAGAATTGTCCCGGATTTGATAAGTTTCCATCTGGCAACCCTAACTGGCACACAGCTTACAAAGTAAGCTGTTTGGTAACAGCAGACAGACCGGTCTCTAGTTATAGAATAAATATATGTAATTATTATAAAATACTATGTCGCTACACGACACAAATAATTGATACCTAATACGTATAAATCTTGCAAGTTCTCCAACGTGTTGCGACAGTTTCTACCGTATTAGTGGTGCGCTGAATGTAATTGAATATCGACTACAGTGTTTGTAAGTATTATTAACTGCTTAAAGATCGGCTAGTGGTCCAGCGGTCAATATATCGGCTTACGTCAAATGGCCGGGGTTTGATTGTTCGAGGTTCGACACGTCTGTTATCAAATTCACAATATCTTTATTCATGTAGGTCATGTAGGCTATTACAGACTTAAGATATTTTTCTCTGCTACAAAAGTTAGTCAATCATGTAACGAGAATAATGTATTTGTATATAATGTCAGAGATCACTCTATTTGTATTTGAATTCATAAATAATAATCTTTATTAAATTCAGAAGGATCGTTACAATATTATTTATACAATAGGTACACATTCCAGACAATATCAATCCTTTCAGTATTTATTGGATGTATCTATTCAGTATTTATGGGAAAAATAAAACTGGGGTTAAGTCCTCATTTATACATCTCGAATAGCGCTGGCATCAATCGCACCTGCCGCCCGGGACCTCGCAGACTTGCCGTCCGGGGCCTCGCAAAGACTTGCCACCCGGGGCCTCGCAATGGGTATGGCCGCCACTGCTACCTGTTGACTGATGTGTGTGTGTGTGTCTGTGCAGGCGTGCTGGACTGCGTGTCCCTGGTGCGGGGGTCCCGCATGCGCTGGTCGCTGGCCGCGCACGACATCTGCTTCACCAACGCGATGCACGCCTACTTCTTCGCGCTCGGACAGTGCGTGCCCGTCGTGCGCGGCGCCGGCGTCTACCAGGTATGTACACACCGTCTCACGATGGTCGCGGGTTCGATTCCTTGCAGGGTACAAATATTTGTATTCTTGTGTATGGCTGTTTGTATCGGTCTCGGTGTTTTCTATGTATGTTTACAAAAAACATAACTATGTATTTATATCAGTCGTCTAGTACACATTACACAAACATCTGCTACTAAACGGCGCCGTGTGAATTGTTCTAGGATACTTAATGAATCTGTAAGCTGTACACAACTTGTTAAGAGCCTAAACTGAAGTTAGTTTGTGTATATTTACACATCATATAAACGAGATATGTACCATGCTAATATTGTTAATGAGCTCCCGAAATTAGAGGTTTGTAACAGTTTCGAAATGTCGGAAACTCATTGAAATAGAAATAATCTTTATTCAAATAAATTTAGTATTAGCATTTTTATATAATCACATTTTTTTATTCTACCGCTCATTCGGAATGCAGACTCATCACAAGAAGAATGAGCGAGAAACTTGTGTGTTGCTCTTTTATCATTACCGATATCATCTTAAGTACACAGTTATATAACATGAACGGTGGTGTGGGGGACATGTTCAGCCGGCGATCGAGTTCTGCGTGGAGCGGCTGTCGCGCGGCGAGTGGGTGCACATCTTCCCCGAGGGCCGCGTGAACGTGGACAAGGAGCACATCCGGTTCAAGTGGGGCGTGGGGCGGCTGGTGGCGGCGGCGAGTGCGGGGGGGCGCGCGCCGCTCATCGTGCCCGTGTGGCACGAGGGGCTCGACCGCGTGCTGCCCAACCGGGAGCCCTACCTGCTCAACTTCCGCAAGCGCGTCTACCTGCACGTCGGCGAGCCCATACAGATACACCATCTGCTCGACAGGTACGCACCCGCGACGCACTAATACGCACCCGCGACGCACTACTACGCACCCGCGACGCACTACTACGCACTACTACGCACCCACGACGCACTATTTCATACCCGCCACACACTACTACGCACCCACGACGCATTATACTGAATACTAATTAATGCATACATATTTGGAAGAAATAACAGATATTTCTAATCCACTCTTCTTGACGATAAGGTCACAAGGCCGTAAGAGTACTATAAATGAAAATACTTTAATCATGTATGGAAGGATTTATTTATTTAAATAAAACTTCGGCGCTATGTAATGAATAAATGTATGACTATATAGATTGTAAAGAAATTACTTAGAATTATTTTCAATGCACGGACTACTAATACGAAAATATAAATTAAAAAACCTGTGACATAAATCAAATTAAATTTCTAGTAAATATTACGTATGTATTGGACAGTACTACCAATATACTATTATTGTTTCAAACCAACGCTTTGTATGTAGATCCATTTTTATTTGATTCTATATTGAATCCTTTACTTTGTATTATACAATATAAGTTTACGTAATTTACAGGTTAAAACAAGCGAACGCCAGCGAAGAGGAGACGCGGAAGGCGATCACAGATAGAATCCAGAACGAACTGCTGCGGTTGCGCGAACGCACGCACGCGCTCGTGCGGCGCGCGGCCGGAGACCTCGGCCTGCTCGAGAACCGAACCGACGTGCTCGTGAAGCCCGAGCCCGACCTCGACCACGACCACGACCACAACCACCCGCCGCACGCCAACGGCAAGCACGCCTCTCTCGACCAGTAGCCCCACCACCACCACCACCCTCTCCGACTGAACCGAGCACGCGCTCGTACCGACCCGGTCGAACGGAGCGACTCCGACGGCTAGTGCTAGTATTATTAGATAGCTAATGTATCAGGTGACCGTACCGGCGTCGTTACGTTAAGTTAGTATTCGAGCGGTGGGACCCGGAGGTCCCGGTGCGCGGCCGCCACTTATTTTATTCGTAAGTTATATTACGTGAAATGTTATCGGTAAGGTATCATGTGAATATATGAGTTTTGTATGTAGCGAGGTGAGAACGCTCGCGTAAAATGCTCGGTGTGTGTGTGTGTGTGTATGTGTTTACAAGTGATGTCGCTGTATCCACGCGGGGGAATTCAGCAGTGATATATTATGATATATAAAATGTATTAAAGTGAATACCTTATTTATTATTTTATTTATATTTATTATAGTAATATATTTTGAGGCTCGCGTGACTTGTACGGTATGGTTCAAGGTATTTCTGGCACGTACTATTATAGTACTGATTAGAGATGAAACGGATAGCAGTTTGGCCGTATATTCGGCCAACCAGGTGACTGAATAGCCGGATATCCGGCGGAACTTAGCTAATAATAAATTAATTTTCTTTCTATAACAGTCATTTACTATTGACTGATTAAAAAATTAAAACTAAAACTAATTTTATTCCTTATGTAATACTAAAACTAACTAAATAAAGCAAATGTATACTTTAAAAAATTACCCAGATTTTTTTAATTCGGCCGGATGCCTATCCAGCCGAATAGTAGTGTCGTATAGCCGGTATCCGGCCCATCCGGCCGAATACCGGATAGTCACCGGATATCCGATTCATCTCTAGTACTAATGTATAAATGGAAACAGAGATTGCTCCGTGAAAGGGATATAGATTTTCGCTTCAAATTGCATCGCAGTCATTGTTCAATATGATAGACAAAGTCAGCGTCTCTTTCAGCCATCAATTCTGTTGGAATTAGACCGTATTTGCTAATTTGACGTGTAAAATATATAACTGAGTGTTGCAATCTCTATTTGTGTAAATCCTATATCACTGAAATCCCTCGCGCTACAGTGGCGCCACCTATAAACGAATATAAAGTCGATATTTTTCATGTGAGACGATTTACAGTGTATCGTTCTGTATGTATCCTTTTAATGTCTGTGTACAATGTACAGTGAATAGGCTACGTATGTGTGTGTGTAAGAGAGAGAGAGAGAGAGAGAGAGGAGGAGCTTGTGTCGCAGCCCCCGCCGCCTCCACACGTAATTTTGATATCGTGTTTTTATGTATTTTTGACACAACTTTACATAATTGGTATCATTTACACCCCGTAGGATAACGAGCGGTGGTCGCTCGCGCCCCACTCGTGGTGGGGCGTTCATATCGAGTCCAACTCATGTTCTGTAAGCTTGCAATGTATATGTATATAATTTTGCACCGATACGCACAAGCGTCTTTGATTGAATGTAATTAATTGATATTAATTCAATGTAATATATTAATTTGCATATTTTTATAGTTTTAAACACTTTTACACGCCCATGTAATGTGATGTCTCCCACAAAACTAATTTATATTTCCTTGGATATCAGTCGCAAGCACAAAATTTTAACTTTACTCGCCCCAGCGAAGCTATAATCCGTTGTCCGCTTATATAATGACACTATTGTACAAGTAGACAATATTTATTCTCAATTATAATTTAAATAACTTCGCATAATATTGTATTTTGTTTGCACTGTTAATCAAATGGACACACTTATGTTTAAACATTAATATTAGAAAGAAAGAAAGAAAGAGAAACATCTTTCTCTTTCTTTATTAACCTTTCGAATGTCTGTCGTCTGTCGCAGCGACCGAAAGTGAAGAGGCGGTATGCGCGCGCCAGCTGTATTTTTTCAAATGCGATTCAATCTTATTATGTTTTAAATAAGGACTAAATTGGTTAAAAAGTAGTCACGGTTTTGCGGCCACAGATCTGTGACAAAACGTTCGAAGGGTTAAATGGACACACTTATGTTTAAACATTAATATTACGGGTTTTACTAAGAATTGGACGCTATGAAATGACAGGAAATATATTTTGTCTATATTTTAATGTATTTTTACATACCACAGACAAAACTACTTAATCTATAAAAATTACTGTTTTAAAAACAAGTATTTTTACAGATGGAGAGTTTTGTATTGTGAAATTATTGGCGGTGATACATGTCGTGTTGCCGCAACTTCCGGGAGTTTTCTCCCATCAGCCCCGGATCTAGGGGGGCAACTGGGGTACCGTGCCCCGTGAGGCAAGTTCGAACTTGGCAGATCACACATCTCATCGTTAACTTTGATAACTTAACCACTAAGATGTTAAGTAAATTGTTTGTGTTCAATGTATTTGAAATGCCACAATAATTAATAGCAATAATAATTAATAGAATTGGACAATTGTATGTTTATATATTATAAAAATGTTGGTCGCAGGGGGAGCGCGGGGGGCTTAGGGGGGCGGTGTTTTTTAATTGCCTCACCTCGAAAATATGTAGATCCGGGGCTGTCTCCCAGCCGTGTCACTGTCCTAACCTTGTTACCAAATTATATTTATAAATCAATGTTGTATATGTACCTATTTTATTATAATATTCGTATGGAATATCAATATTCTTTTATATCTGTGAACATAGTCTTCCGTACTCTCTGTGTATATCTAGTTACCTCTATACCTTGTCCTCGGCGCCACTGTATTGTGATTTTACTTTTTCTAGTATGTGCCATCTGTACTGATAGCAGAACTGACTCGTATAGTTAGGGGGACATTGAACAAATTGTCTGTGACGTTTTATAGGCTAAGGTAAACAATTACGGACCAGGCTGTACAGAGCAGACACGTACTATATACATACGTGTATACAGAGTGGTTGCTTTAACATGAGTATTAAAATTTATGTAATACTAGCTGTACTCGCCACTTCGTCCGCGTGGAATTTAACTTTATTTTCTAAAATAAAAGTAGCCTAAGTTACTCCTTATTACATAAGCTAACTAAAAACTATTTCCAGCATTATACTGAGTTGTGGTCCACATTGACTCCGTTTTTTAATGTGTAAATTATTCTTGTATTTCTTATGTTATTACTGTAAAAACGAGTTAATAAAATTCTATTCTATTCTATTCTGTCAAAAAAAAGTCCCATCAAAATCGGTCCAGCCATTTCAGAGATTAACCGGAATAAATAGACAGACAGACAAAAATTGTAAAAATGTTGTTTTGGTGTATTTATATTCATATGCATGTAGTAAAAAACTGTTATTTCTATATTACAAACAGACACTCCAATTTTATTTATATGTATAGATGAATATTAATTATTAAGCGTTGTTCATAGTATATACAACGGTTAGTTAGTTCATATACAACGGTTATAAATTACCTAAAAGAGTACTCGATGAAAAGCAACCACTCTGTATATATGTAATCCTTTGTAATTGTACTGAGCACGCATTTGTCGTCCCGCTAACGTTGCCAATACGCTACCACTCTATTGAGAACTGCACTCTGACTGACCAATATATATATATAAACACAGGAAATAACTTCAATCGATATATATTAGTAACTAGCTACTCGGACGGCTTCGCCCTGGTGTACCTGTATTTATTATACATATAAACCTTCCTCTTGAATTACTCTATTAAAAAAAAACGATTCAAAATCCGTTGCGTAGTTTTAAAGATTTAAGCATACATAGGGACGGACAGACGGCGATAGCGACTTTGTTTTATAATATGTAATGATGGAGTATTACATCGTAGCGAATTCTTCAGTTACGTACACGTTATTTACTGAAGAATTTTCCAGAATGGAACGTAATGTAAAAAAAAAATTCTATCGAATTTACAAACTTCCATTTTCCAATCTTATGCATGATGATGGAATGGCGCACCCGCCTGCGCTAACGGTTTACGCTGGCGGGGCACCAGTGGAGGATGATAAGATGAGCATGAGGTCAGTTCGCTCATAGTGGTAAATTCACCAGGAATTAACGATGTTCCTATGGGAACCGTGTGGAGGTCAACCTGATAACATTGCTAGCGATGGAGTCTCAGCCCCCATTACTAAGAACCCCCTCCATTTGGCAGTCATTTGAATACAGTTGTTACAGTAGCAGCGTGTTGACCGGCGATGCGTAGCTCTTAAGGGTTAAATTAACCCCTTTACACATATCCTAATAGGATTTGCTTTGTAAACCGCCGAATGTAAGAGTATCGGTAGCTGAAATAATTACGTCTCGTGTAAAGTTGGACGTGTGGACAACATAACATTGTGGTGAGTGACTCGCGTGTCGTTAGTTTACCAGATACAACAAAAACAAAAAAAAAAAAACAAGCACTCTAGTCACGCCATGTGTTTAAATTGGTCGCGTGCAGTGTATAAACACTGCCATAGCTCCGCGCTCGGCCACACGTGAATGTTGCTTTGTCCGGCGCCCAGCGCAGCCTCGGCTCCTTGTTGATGTTTCCTGTTATTTGTAACAATTTTTATCAGTTTTTTGAGAATCTACAACTTAATTTAAACAAAATAAATCGGTGGACCTCTAGTTGGAATTTTTATTTATACCCTCGACTTCTACCTATATAATGGTAGCTGTGCCCGCGGGTTTCGCCCGCATAAATTTATAGCCTGTATGTTATTCTGATGTATAAGCTATATTACTGTAAAGTTTCATCAAAATCCGTTCAAATTCAAAATATCTTTATTCATGTAGGTCTATTACAGACTCTTATGATATGTCAAATCGAATCAGAAGAACTGACAAGAAACTCAGCTAAGTTCAATAGTTTCTGCGTGAAACTGTAACATCCATCTATATTCACAAAATTTCGCGTTTATATTACTAGATACTCGCCCCGGCTTCGTTCGAGTGTAGATACATGTATTATATATATATATAAAGCTTCCCCTTGAATCACTACCTATTAAAAAAAAATGCTTCAAAATCCGTTGCGTAGTTTTAAAGATTCAAGCATACATAGGATAGACAACGACAGCGACTTTGTTTTGTACTATGTAATGATTAAGATAAGATTTAATACAGCAATATATTTATTTTTGACGTCAGAAAATTCTTCATAAAGGGTCACTGTCTTAGGACCTGATGGGGTCTACAGGATTCTTACCAGCTAAAACCTGACGGCTATTCCTCAAACATCGCCGTGTCCATGAGACCTTTATAGCATTCACCCAAGACTCGTAATTCCAGAGATCAAACATCGCCGTGTTCATGAGAAAATTTGCTCGATACTTATACAATAATCTGTATGGCTATTATCAAACATCTTTATAGACCCACACGAAACAAAGTCAGAGAAAATTTGCCGATACTTATTTTATATTATCCCTTTTTATACCGTCATTCACACAAGACGGCAATGCACTTGCTATTACATTTTTTTTTGCAAAGTGATATATTTAGTGATCTAATAATTAACAAAATGACAAAATCTTTCAAGGGCCAATTATGAGACCATGTTGTTAATAAATATTGATTGTAATAAATTAAAATTTCAAAGTCACGTATAGTCAACGAAAGATAAGTTTCCTTTCCTGTGAACCACATTAGTACGCACCCATTTGTAGCGTAAAGTTCCACGTTTTATTTTGGGGGAAAAGAATATCTAGGTATATATAGCCTTGACTTAGAAAATGAATGGTGTATAAAAATATGTGTAACGGAAGTACGTACATATACCTATATCATATTCTCCGAGAGTAATCTATGAACTTAGTAATCCAACTGCCATGAAACTTGCTTAACAAGGTGCAAATATGTGTTCTCTTATGCGAGCTAACTTTCGTTTAACTTAGTTACTGTGCTTGCATCCACCACCTGTGTCCTACACAGTCGGTTAAGTTTCCTGCCAGTTCTTCTCAACTGAAGTAGCTGGAAGAGTTGGAAGGTAAGGATAGTGATAAAAATTATGATTCGATAGCTGTTATATCAATTAATATTCTTAATTTGATTTGTAAAGCGTTGAATATGAACATCTAAATTACAATTTCCTTATTTTTGAAGAAGGAAGAAGGTATTGAAATAAGTTAGAATTTCAGTATTGTATTTTATTTTCTGATCTGAGTATCGATTTAAATCATCTACAAATATATATTGAGATACATCCATTTTCGTCTACACTTCAATTATATATCGGACGACATAGTTTACAACAAGCGAGTTGTCGGCTGTCAATTTTAACGTTATATCACAAGAGTACACAGCGCTATAATAATTAAATATATCATTACTCTACACGAGGCCGCAGAGGATCGGTTGGAGCGGGCGTCGTGAGGCAAGTCGAGTGACACGCGTGCCTCGCAGACCGCACACTATGTTTCAATACGCCCGATCATCTACGTACCGCACATCGCGCGCGTATAAGCGTACCGTAGCTACGTATAAATATATGATTTCAAATAATTTTACGAGCGGTAAAAAAATAAATTCAAAACGATCTCGCTCGTCGGTCGCACGCGGTGCGGTCGCCGCGTCAGTCGCAGAGCAGGTCGCCGTCGTCGGCGGCGTGCAGCGGCAGCACCGACGCCGCGCCGAACGGCGGGCGGTACTCGATGCCCAGCTCCGAGAACAGCGACAGCGGCGGCGCCACGTTGGCCAGGAACACGCGGCCCAGCGACGGCGACAGCGCCGCCGGCAGCAGCGCCACCACCGCCGCGCGGCTCGCCGCCCCCGCCCCCGCCCACCCGCGCTCCGGCGGCTCCAGCGACACGCACGCCGCCCGCGCCGCCCGCGCCCACGACACCGCCGCCTCCTCCGCGCCCCCCGCGCCCGCCCCGCCCGCCGCCTCCTCCCCGCGCGGGTCGTGCAGCGCCAGCAGCACCAGGTCGGGCGCGGGCAGCCGCCGCAGCTCGGGCTCGAGCGCGGCGCCGGCCAGCCGCGCGGCGGCCAGCTCGCGGCGCAGGTCGGGCGGCGCGGCGGCGAGCGCGGCGGCGGGCGCGGCCACGTGGAGCGCGGCGCGCGCGCCGTGCGCGGCCAGCAGGCGCGCCGCCGCCGCGCCGGCCGCCGCCGCGCCGTGCGCGCCCAGCAGCGCCACCACCACGGGCGTCTGGTGCGCGTTGCGCGGGTCGAGGCGCCGGCCGCCGCCCACGAGCCGCAGCGCCACGTCGGCGGCGGCGCGCGCCTCCAGCGTGAGCGCGGCGGGGGCGCCGCCCGCGCGCCACACGGCGTCCCAGAGGCGGCGCCGCGCGCGCGCCGACACCGAGCCCACCACGAGGCCGCCGTCGGTGACGTAGTCGGCGCCGCCGGCCAGCGCGGGCGGCACGCGCACGGCGCGGCGGGCGGGCGGCGCGGCGGCGGCCAGCACGTTCTGGTCGTGGCGCAGCTTGCCCGCCTCGTCGGCCTGCCGCACCAGGTCCGGCTTGTTGGCCTGCGCGTTCATCTGCTCCCACAGCGCGCGCTTGTCGAACAGCGCCAGGTTGCCCTCGAAGTCGAAGTCGTCGTGGAGCGCGGGCTCGGCGAGGTCCCCGAAGCAGGCCTCGTTGCGGCGCCGCGCCTTGTCCCCGCCGCCCGCCGCCGCGCGCCCCTTGGGGGTCGAGCCCGCGCCGCCGTAGCTCCCTGCACAACGCGACCACTCACTACACTATCTCTCGATGACCACTACTTATCCACCAGTAAAATATTCCAGAGATTCATATACCAAGGAAATAAAAAATAAATATCAAGGAATTAAATATATTTAATATCATTTAATACCATACCTATATATCCTTTAATATACTATGCAAATATACAACAATAGTAATAAAAATATTTTGTAAAAAGAATGTTTATACCATTTTATAATATTTAAGGAATCTTTGAATAAAAACTAATATACAAAATTTAACTCACTTTCCATATTTCCAGTCAATTACATAATGTTAAAGATAATGTTAAAATATTGTACCAGTTTGGAGTATCAAATCACCTGCATGTGTGTTATTCTTGTTGGTCCGTGGGCCCTGTATGTCTATGGGCTTGCTCCGTGCGGGACCCTGGCCTTGTACACGATTGTTTCCAGACTTGTTAGTGTTCACACCACTAGTAGATACTGCTGGTTGGTTACCTGCAAGTATTATAATATCAATTATACATAACTCCTTTGATGGAAAATCACAAGATGTGGTATGGTCTTCTAGAAAAGCCTAGATTATGAGAACAACACACAGAATTCATGTGCCTATACAAAGCTCAGTTAAATGGTTTAAAAAGAAAACACCATCATAAAATAATTAAACATGTATAAAATTAACTAGTTAAAATGCTCTGTAATGTGTTTGTGTGCCCATCGGTAAATGATTACTGTAGCCTATGGACACCTGAAACACCAAGGCTGTCACATGCGCACTGCCAACTCTTAAGGAAACTTAGTCATAAGAATGGATGTCAAAAATATACATTATCTTTTTTTTCTTGATTAACTACCCAACTGTGTGGTGTGACACTATACCTGAACTACTGGGGTTTGCCTGTAAGTTCTCGCAGACTGTTGCACGGTGACCCTTCTTGTTAGATTTTGTAACTGCTACAGTACTATGGGTCTGCTCTGCAGGCTCTGAACGAGTTTCTATGATTTTCAACTCTTTTATATCTGCAGCACTATAAATATATATTAGTATTAATAAATTTATATCATTCACACTTAATTTTTTAATAAGTTCAGCATGCTGATACGTACTTTAGCGTAACCTGAGGTTTAGGGTATGGGAATCCATTTCGAAAGGCTTTGGTGAGTGTAATTGTAGTGCCATCTGCTTGTAAAATAGTGCCTTGGTAGCAGCCGAGGGGCTCGCCGCAGTTGACCGACACCGCGTATCCGATCCAGTTCGACATTGTTTACCACAACATATGTACATGTGCTAATATTACTAAACATATAGTTTTCTTTCTCTTAAACTATAAAACCACTTTTCTTTAGTACCTTTTGGAACAATTGATAATGGAACAAATTAAAATATACACATATCAATACTTAGCATCACATTTTTATACTGACTGCTTATTATTTATAAAAAAATAATAAATAAGAAAAATAACGTATGTTGAAGCAGGCAAACTATCATGTGTCATGCCGTATTAATGTCAATGTCATATCTTTTATTAATTTTCGAATTTCATTCGATCAGATAACGCAGTTTTCTTAGTCTGTGGTCTATAATCATAATTCATTCACTTGAACACTGCACTATTCAGTTAATTTCAGTTTTTCAGTCAGTTCTCCTTAACACACATATTAAATATGTTTTCTTGTCTCATAAAAAATTTTGTTTTTAATCTTCATGGAAATTAAAATTAAACTAAGAATTAAAATGTGTAATTTTTATATTATTTAAAATTAATTGTTTAAACATTTTAACAGTGAATCATATTCTAAAAGCAAATTAAGCTGTGGATATATTTTATAAAAGGTAAGATGTTAAATAAAGCTTTTAAATATTTCCTTAAAATTCAAATGCACATCACTGTAAAAAATATCTTTGTAACACTAGTCATTAAAAATGAGTAGATTGTACAAACATTGTTTTTATTAATTTTTATGCATATTGAATACATAATAATCCTAAGTTTATTAGTCTAAACTTGACAAGTTTACCGACTTTTTAAACAATATAAATGTATGAGAATATACAATTCTTTTTTAATGGCTGGAGTGGATTTTATTTTATATTTGAATATACTATGTAGTTTCTTAAAAAGGTATTTAAGCTACTAATGAAAGTATGTATTGTACATGTATATACCCCAGATCACAGGGGTAATCCCTATGATAACAAGTTGAATTCACACACATTGTCATTAAATAATAGATTTTATGTCCATGCTCGAACATTGATGTTAGGCAGAATGATATAATTATCTTGGTCCAATTTTAGACCGGGATAAACATAATAAAACTGTATTATTATAAGAAACACATAATATATTATTTAAAAAAATATATTTGTTAGAATCTGTCTAGAAGTTCATGTAATTCTGCATTTATTGTATCATAAGTCAATTACTATAAATATGTTTATTCATTGGTGTATAAAGAATAACTTATATTTTTTTCTTAGGGGAATCATTTAACGTTAGTATCAAATTTAAATCCATTAAGTAGTAAATTAAATTAATTACCTAAATTGTCAATGTAACTCTACTTAAAAAAAGTAGAGTTACATTGTCAATTTAACAGACAATTTAATAGACAGTTATTCAAAAAGTAACTTTACCCTTAAATTATTCCCCCCAATGATGCAACCCATAATAATTGGTAATAAGTTATTTATTTGTACTACAAAAAGAATACACATTTAATTTATGTGTAACTACAATTAAGAAAAAAACAATTTTAATATGGTTATTCTAAAAAATATTTAGACTGTGATAATTTTTTACTTGTTTGTATTATATTATTGAACTAGCTACCCACCCGGCTTCACATGGGTGTACATATGTTATAATATAAAACTTCACCTTGATTCACTCTATCTATTAAAAAAAAACAAGACAATCTATTGTATAGATTTAAAGAATTAAGCACACAAAGGGACTGACAGACAGTGACAGTGGCTTTGTTTTATACTATGTAATGATGGTACAGGAAAACCTTTACGACTACCTATCATACTGTACCTTTCAGGTTAGTTGATTACACACCTAACATATAATATATTCACTTATTTAATGTAATTGTGATTCTTTGTTATTGATGAACAGACACTAATGATGTTGGGAGAATACTTTAAATGGTAATGAGTCTAAAACATCTTGTGTGTAACAGTTAATTTCTTTGTCCATTGTGTTAACAAACAACCCATAACCATACACACTGTAAGGCCTGACCTGGGTGTAGTAAATTTATTTACTGAACATCTAGTAACTACTTTTTAAGTACAGAATGAAGTATTCCACAGTATGGAATAATACATTAATTATAATTAAGAAAAATTATGGAGTAGGGTTGCGGAAGACAGAGTTCAATGGAGAGAGCAAGAGGAGGCTTATGTCAAAAGACACACCAAGTTGCGGGACGTTTTATAAACCATAAAATGTACCTCAACTTTGGAACAAAGGCTATATTATTATTATTAATTAAATTTATGTATAAAATGCAGCATTCAACATGACAGTATATGTAACCCCATCTCTTTGTTTGATGGTCACAACCACATTATGGAATCACCATCTAGCAATAGTATTTCTGTACTAATACAATATGATATCAAGAAATGGGTTTATTCCTTCTTAAAAGGGGATGGGGATCAAAATTACGATGGTCCGAGATTCGAACTCCTGGCAGTGCACTTAGACCAAAGTAGTACCTACTCGTCAGGCAGGAGTTGGCCGTCAGACGCTGCATATGTCTTTCTGCGAGTTTGGAGTGCAGTAAAGACCAGCTGCGGCAAACAGCAGAGTATTCCGAAAAAAGAAAGTGCAATATTGAATATTTGTCGTCAGATGTCGGGTAAGGTTGTGAAGGAGAACGTGTTGGCGCAGCCGCCGCTGTCGACGTGGTGGCTGGCGGCGGCGATGGCGGCCACCGTCGCCGCCTACCACCTGGTCACGCTGGTGGACCGCGCGCTGCCCGAGCCCCTCACCAGGGACTCCGCGCCGCCCGACCGGTTCATAGGCGAGATCGCGCACGAACATCTCGTCAACTTGACTTCCATCGGCCCCAGGGTGTGTTGTCTCAACTTTCACTAACTTTCGAGCCAGAGGCTTTTTTCTTCAATCATTTATTTTAGGTCGAAGATAGTTAAGAAAGTCAGCTGTGGTTTCGACGGTAGGTTAAGGAGTAACATCCTTGCAAACATGTAATCAAAATTCTATCAAATCATCGTTAAACATATAAGCTCTGCTGATAGCACGAACATGTAGAAAAAAATCAATTAACCTTGAATTGTTGTCTTCGTACCCGGCCATTTCGCGTCAGTCTTGGAACCGAGACATAGCTCGTGTGTATAGTAAGTTGTTTGGGTGTGCGTGATGGTAGGTGGCCGGCAGCTACGAGAACGAGGTGGCGGCGGTGCGCATGCTGGTGGAGGCGATACAGGAGATTGCCAAATCCGCCTCGCGCCACAACCGCGTCGAGCTCGACGTGCAGAGGGCCAGCGGAGCCTTCGACCTCACCTTCTTCGACGGTCTGCAATTTGTATTGTATTTAATTATTAGTGTTACATCAGTAGTATCAGTACAGTTATGATGATATACTACTGATGTAATACTAATAATTGCGTCGAATGTGATACATTGGATGATGTCATTTAAATTATTAGTATTAAGATTTTGTGATTTGAATAAAAAAGTAGGTCTAGATTCAGTAAGTGGAAGACGGCGTATGGTGATGTGTATGCTGTGTGTGTACAGGGATGAACAACGTGTACCATGACATTCAGAATGTGGTGGTGCGCGTGCAGGGTGTGGGCGAAGCGGCGGGCGGCGGCAAGCGCACCGCGCTGCTGATTAACTGCCACTACGACACCGTCACCGACAGTCCCGGTTAGTGCACTCACTATCAGTACTACTGCAGACCCACTGTCAGCAATAGCATTACATATATGTATAAATAGCATGATAGAACAAGATAGATCTAAGTCATTTAGAATTTAATAAACAGAGGTGGTCCTAGAATCGCACCTTGCGATACTCCCATTCGGTCATGATGATATTAAGAATTAATATTTACTTATTGTACGCTAACTCGTATAGGAAGTAAATACTAATTATTCACATTACATTTTAATATTATTTAATATTTTTTTAAATAAACTTAATTGAACATTTTTCATAAAAAAGGCATTTATAGCAAAGACATGTTTTAATAATTGTGTTACGATGATAGCGCAGTAAGATTAGAATAAACTTAGTTCCTAATCAATAATGATTTCTGAAAGTTTTGGAAGTCATTATCGAATGTCAACTCTCAGTGTCGATAACACATGTTTGACGCTGTCCGTATTTACATGCGTCCGTGAAGTAGGTACAATAAGCGCTCATACTCTAACAGAATGTAAGAGAAAGCTTCTTAGCATTCTATGGATTCACCGTACGTGTGCCGGGTCCATCTTGTAGCACAGAGGGAAACGCCGAGCAGTTTGCGGAACTTGTTAAAAGTTAGGTTTAAAAGGTGCTTTGCCGAAGTACATCAACATTCACCTTTACCGCTCTTGTTTCTCTGCCTGCCCAGACAAATCTGGTAAGAACCTGTTCTAAGTCATTCCGTGGGTTTGGAATGCCATCTGCACTCGTCTCTTACTGTTTCATGACCAATGGCATTAGAATAGTTCGAAAAAAATATATACCATGCTTTATTACCACCTGGGTACAAAAAGAGTAAAAAATATATGTATATTTCCATACAATCTACCGTCAATGAACCAGTGTAATGGTTATGGTAATATGGTACCTCCGCCTGCGGGCCTCTGACCTAACCTGTTATGATATCCTTCATAATAAAATCAGTATGTACACACGTACGTATGCATTAATAATTTAATTAGTAGTCTATTTGCACTAACGCCGGCGCTGTGGCTCGTTAGGCTTCGTTTACACGAATAAGCGGAAGAGGGGACAAGCGCGATTCTCAGAATAATATCCAAACAGCCGCTCGTCCGCAGGCTTAAGCGTTATTACTACTGGATATTAGTAAATCTTTGTCAGTCCGTCGAAATTGGACCTTAACAAATATAAAGCATACGGTAAAACAAAGGACGTCCGTGGAAACCAGTTATATTATGAAAAAATGAACATCATATGGAATATAAACCTAGGGAAAACTAAAACTACTCAATTAACGTGGAAAGTTAAATCTTCCTTTTTATTGGTAACTAGCTACCGGCCCCGGCTTCGCTCGGGTGTACACGTATTATACATATAAACTGCTTCTTGAATCACTTTATCTAGTAAAATAAACCGCTTCAAAATCCGTTGCGTAGTTTTAAGGATTTAAGCATACATTGAGACGGACAGACAGCGCCAGCGACTTTGTTTTATACTATGCAATGATGTGAATGGCATCAAGTATTTGTAAAACTCAACTAAACTTGTAGTAGACACTTATACCTACGGTATAACTGCTCCAGATAGATAAATAAATTCTTTATTCGCCGATTACAAATACATAACTTAAAACGTGAGGAAACCGGGTTATAAAAAATTAAAGTCAGTTCACTCACTTTCATGACTGCGAACAGGGATGAATGGAAGAGAAAAACATATTACAATAAATGCAGATGATGATGACTTTCTTGTAATATACTGAACTGGACAGTAAGAATAAAAATAATATATAAATAAATTATTTTGATTTACATTACTAAATACATATAAATATATAATCTATACATATAAATAAAATTGGTGTGTCTGTTTGTAATATTGAAATAACCATTTACTACTACATGCATATGAATATAAATACGGTACATACACCAAAATCACATTTTTTCACAATTTTTGTCTGCTTGTTTGTTCCGGCTAATCTCTGATATGGCTGGACCGATTTTGACGGGACTTTTTTTTGGCAGGTAGCTGTTGTAATAAGGAGTAACTTAGGCTACTTTTATTTTAGAAAAATAAAGTTTTCCCGCGACTTCGTCCGCGTGGAACTTCCACGCGGACGAAGTCGCAGGAACAGTTAGTAATTTATAAAATTACGATTTTAACCTTCTCTTGTAATATAAATATATCGACTCAAGATAACTTGCTTATTTAAGTCAATAACATTATCTCAATAGGTATAGTGGTGTGCAAGTATTTAGTATTTACACTAGATAGTAAGTTCAAATCCCGCTCAGTCCATATCGCTGTCGCGTCGCCACTGCACGCTGCCTTATGCCGGCCGCCATGGAAACGCGTGAATACCACGCGCCGTACTAAGTGGCAATTGAACACATTACATTCAATTGATATAATTTGTAGAGCGGCCAATTAGGACGGACTAGATTTGTATGGCTCATTAAGTGGTTCACAATCACTGATTGATTACAAATGTATGTGGACACCGCGGGAATAATACCTTAGTGTTGTCAGGTGACCCGAAATGCGCGGGACGTCCCAATTTTCAGGGGTCTGGGGACGCGTCCCGATTTGTACCTGATCCGGGCGCTATATATCTGATTAGACAAGACTGTTTACTTGTTATGTAAGATTAACGCCCGAAATTAATAACGTATCCACAATCCAAGATCGCTACCAATCTTAGACTGATCCCTATCTCCAGATCGGTTTCCAATCTGCATCCCAATATGACAACTCTATTTTTTTTTGACACTCGATAGGCATCGATCCTTGTATCTTCCTAAATACATATTTAATTTAGGTAATTAATATAATACTATACTTGCACTAGTAGTTTAAAACGCAATAAATTAAATGCAGACTTAAAAACCCTTTGTTTTTTGTTTACTGTCCCGATCTGCAACCCTAAATCCCAATTTTTTTTACCACAAGTACTGCTTTAAAACAAATCAGATCTGGCAACACTAGTCCACCCTCTCTGCTATGACTTTATTAGTAAATGAATACAATAAGAGAATCGACGACGACGATAGCACATTAAGTTCTAAACTACTAATATTGTAACAAAGTAAACAGCAAAACTGACAATAGAAATAGAAATAATCTTTATTCAAATAAACTCATTACAAGCACTTTTGAATAGCCATATTTTGATTCTACCACTCATTCGGAACGCAGATTCATCACAAGAAGAATGAGCAAGAAACTTGTGTGTTGCAATAGCTTAACAAGATCACAAACTAATAAAATTGGACAATAACAAAGTTAAATAAAATCTAAATATTATTCATGATAACTTACAAAATTAAATGAAAACTAAAAATGTATGATGATAGTTTAATAATTAGAGATGATTAATTATTAAATCATCAATTATAATCATAAATCTTTGTCCTCATCAACATTCAGCTGCGGGTTCTTGAATTGCATCAATATCCGAATACTCGATTGTTTTCTGACATTTTAAAAAACATAGGCAAAGTATGACATAGTATAACGATCATCGAGCAGACTGCCCAATAGAAAAACTTTTAAACTCCATAAATGGAGCACTAACTATGGTAAATACAGGCCGGTTTTAGATATTCACATAATTTTCAACTGACTCCTAAATCCCATAATTGTATACTATAATCTTTTAGTATAAAATTATTTCCGTTTCCGGTTAGTATGTGCAGTGGCTTTTGATACGGAATTCCCTGTGTTATAAATCTTTTGTAAAATTAGTTTATCTTTGTATTATGTGCAATCATTACATAGTATAAAATAAAGGCGGGCGCTGTCTGTCCGTCCCTATGTATGCTTAAATCTTTACAACTACACACCGGATTTTGAAGCGTTTTTTTTAATAGATGGAGTGATTCAAGAGGAAGATTTATATGTATAATACATGTACACCTGGATGAAGCCAGGGCGAGTAGCTAGTAATATTATATACTAGCTGACCCGACTGACGTTGTTCTTTATTAACTCTGCGTATTGTACACAATAGTCAGTAGGCAAACACTAAAGTAAATTTAAAGGTCATATTAATTTTTCTAATGTTCCGGGCAACTTTCTTTCATAAGAACCCGCTGACATATGATAAACAATAAAAAAAACCTCAATTCACCTCCCGTGTCCGAGGGTAAGTATAGGGATTAATAAATATTCAAAGTAGCAAGAGACCAAAAGTGCTCAAAGTTGGGATCTATGTGTAAAAGAAACCTCTACCAGTTAAACTAACTAGCGGATAATAACGAGTAGTGAGTGCGTATAATTGAAACGAAACATCATAATAATGGGCACGGTCGGGCTTATGTCACTGCCCACTCAATCTAATCTCGCTGAACAAGTTAATACGACAAGGTACGATAACTAGACGAGTACATGTGCACGGCACCAGATAACTCTTGTATGTATTATGTATGGTGTACATCGGATTTCTTTAACTCCTCAAGGATTATAGGCTTTATTGACCATGGAGCGAATGCCTTAAAAACTGACTAACGTTACAGCTAATAAGGTACCTACTATAATAAGAAGTATACTGTAGTATCTAGATATAAATAGTATGTACATATATATATCTAAATATATATAACTCAAAGGTGACTGCCGTAGTGATCTATCAAAGCACAGCCCAAACTACTGGACTGATCCGGCTGAAATTTGACATGCAGGTAGATGTTATGATGTAGGCAAGAAAGAAATTTGATTAATTCCACCCCTAAGAGGATAAATTAACGCGAGTGAAGTCGCGGGCAAAAGCTAGTATATACATATATGTATTTACTAGCTGCATCCGAAACTACGTCCGCGTGGAATTATTCTAAAATAAAAAAATCCGTCTAAAATAAAAGTAGCCTAAGTTACTCCTTATTACATCAGCTACCTGCAAATAGAAGTCCCGTCAAAATCGGTCCAGCCATTTTGGCTAATCTCTAGCCGAAACAAACAGACAGACAGTCAAAAATTGTAAAAAATGTAATTTGGTGTATGTACCGTATCTATATATTCATATGCATGTACATAGTAAAAAACGGTTATTTCAATATTAAAAACAGACACTCCAATTTTATTTATATGTATAGATAATTGGAGTATTAAAAGAGCGCAGTCTCGGAATGACCCCAGAGCTTGAAAAGGCGCCTTTTAAGGGTGCTAGTCGAAAGCGATAATTTAATATCTGTAGGGAGTGTATTCCATAGTCGGGCAGCTTGAACACTTAAAGATTTAGAATAGAATAGAATAGAAAATTATTTATTCAAATAAACTTAATTTAAGCACTTTTGAATGGTCAACAATTTTTTTTAAAATCTACCGCTCATTCGGAAAGCCGTCTCATCACAAGAAGTATAAGCAAGACACTTGTGTGTTGCTCTTTTAAATAATCCTTGTCGTAAACAAGTGCTGCGTGTAAGGGCTGGTCTGCTCTTATCACTACGACTGATTTAATCTTATTGTGTTTTTATATTTGAGCCTAAATAAAGTGCTGGTTGGTAGATTGTATTCACACGTTTCGACTTGTAAAATGTGAACTTTTTGAACCAACCAGCACTTTATTTAGGCTCAAATATAAAAACACAATAAGATTAAATCAGTCGTAGTGATAAGAGCAGACCAGCCCTTACAAGCAGCACTCGTTTACTAGTATGACGTATGAACCAGCCATCACTGCGCTCGACCATATTTTAGGGAGCCCAATGACCCGGCCCACCACGCCGCCACATGTCTGGACATTTTAGTGAGCATGACTACTCATTTAGTGTACCGGTGACCATTATGAGAAGGAATTGTGACTTTTTTTCGGACTACTCTAATGCTGTTGGCCGCAGCTGGCCTTTACAGCTTCACCGGACGATAGGGAGCCAGTGCAGATGGCACTCCGAACCAAAGGAAGGACTTATGGAGCGGATGAAGGCCAACTCCCGCCTGACGGATACGACTTTAGTCTGAGAGCTCCGCTAGGAGTTCGAACCTCGGCTCAGGCCGTCGTAACACCGGTCCCCGTTTGGATTGGACGGGGGATCGATCGGAGGGAATAATTGTTACGTAAATCTTGACAAGAGCGTATAAGCTCACCAGCTCGAAACCGAAATCTCTCTTGTAGTCGTAAATATTAGAAAATATACACCGCAGGGTCACGAGTTCACGACCGATATGATTATGTAAACACTTCTCACACGCTTAGAGCTAAACTGTAATAAGTCAAATAAAAAGTATATTTTATTTTAATGTTTTAGATTTAAAGTCGATTTTTCAAATTTACTTTGGTTAGTGCAGTTTTTATACCTCTAGTACTTTGTCATAATAACACGTATTGTCACATAGCTTGTTAAAATTAGGTGTCTATGGATATTACACAACTAATAGACAATATTGCGTTTTGTTATTGTTGGGACCACCTTTATTTATGTACAGGAACTGTAACCAACATGTAGAAACCATTAGTAAATATATTTTTATTTCGCCAACATGGATAATAGCAACAGGAGATAATTATTACTATTATGAAACTAACTCACATTCATTTGTAGCAGCCACTATTTTATTTTATTTTATTAAGGTTAAAATTTTGAATGTGTTGAAATTAAAATTTATATTTAATTAACTGCGTAAAAAATAAGTTTCAAGCTACTACACTCGCGAGCTTTACTTGGAATTTATTCTGCGCGGTTTTGAGTACTTAATAACTAGTTTCTAATAATTTGAAAGGTTAAACTGTTAACTTTAAACGTTTTGGTATCACCAAATTCATTTTTAATATTGATTCCAAATTGTTATGCTCGCGAGTGTAGTTTTAAAAAGTTAGTGTGCGGGGTGTGTACGTGTGTACGTGTGTACGTGTGTACGTGTACGTGTGTGTGTCGGGCGCAGGCGCGAGCGACGACGGCGCGGGGTGTGCGGTGGCGCTGGAGACGCTGCGGGCGCTGGCCGCCACGCCGCAGCCCCTGCACCACCCGGTGCTGGTGCTGTTCAACGGCGCCGAGGAGAACATCATGCAGGGCTCGCACGCCTTCGTCGCGCACCACCCGTACGTGTAGCGCGCCCGCCACGTGCCCGCCACGTGCCCGCCACGTGGCCGCCACGTGGCCGCTGTCGGCCCCACCTCACGTGCACGTGTGTGTCGCAGGTGGGCGCGGTCGGTGCGCGCGTTCGTGAACATCGAGGCGTGCGGCGCGGGCGGACGCGAGGTGCTGTTCCAGGCCGGCCCCCACGACCCCTGGATTGTGGAGGTGACACACACACACTCACTTATTATTATTATATATTTATACGAATTGAGCTCCGCAAACGTTGTTTTACCATATAAATTAAAATCGCTATATAAAATATGGATTGTTTATAGAAGGGTGAAAGTTTCACCCTTATATCCATGATATGTTATAAAAAAAATGACAAAAAAGTGATATCCATGAAATAAAAATAACATATTAGAGGACGAACCTTTATCACTTATGAGTAGTCACCTAGTGAATATGCATATAAAATTTCATAAAAATCGGTCAAGTCGTTTCGGAAAAGTATGGTAACTAACATTGTGACACGAGAATTTTGTATGTAAGACTGATGGTCGCATATATACTTGTCTTCATTGTGTACATTATACGTGCTATGTATTTTTAATCTGAATTTGCAAACAAGCTAATGGCCTAACTTGACGACCGCCTGTATGCATGAACAGCAACATTCATACCTCTTATGTGAGGAGTTTCCGGAGGCCAAATCATCACATAGTATAAAACAAAGTCGCTGTCGCTGTCTGTCCGTCCCTATGTATGCTTAAATCTTTAACCACATACTTTTACTATTGAACAAAAACAATGTGTACAAAAAACTGTTTTCAGCATCAAAACCTCAGCATTTATTAAGAAATTTCAGTAATTAATGCTAAGTGATGATAGACATAGGGCATCTATTAATATAATAAAAAATGAGCTCCTCATTTATTTTAATTTCAATTATAATTGTGGTGAGGCGTATGAAGTTTGACTTGCGGCACAGAGACGTGGTCGCTAACTATGGGTCTCAAAAACAAGCTCAGAGTCACTCGGAGGGCAATGGAGAGGGCTATGCTCGGAGTTTATCTGCGAGATCGAATCAGAAATGAAGAGATCCGCAGAAGAACCAGAGAGAGCGACATAGCCCGAAGAATTGCGACACTGAAGTGGCAATGGGCAGGGCACACAGCTCGTAGGACAGATGGCCGTTGGGGCGGTAAACTCCACGAGTGGCGACCGCGGACCGGAAGACACAGCGTGGGAAGGCCTCCAGCAAGGTGGACCGACGATCTAGTCAAAGTTTTAATAAATAGTTCCCTCTCTGCTCGATTCCTATCACATTCCATCAACAGGTGCTGGACATATACTTTTTGACACAGCACAGAATCGGGTGAATTCTTTTTTCATTAAATATCCATACTTTCTTGATGGATAGTGACCGGATCGGATACTAAATAATAATTTCAATTTACATCTCCATTACCGAAACGTTGGCAGCATTAGAATCAATAATGACGGAATGTTATTCAGTGTCCTACATATATATATATATATCGTATTGGTGTTGTGTGTTATCATAAGAAACAATCAATCAATGCGGACACTCCCAAAAATTACGTTATCGCAGAAAATATGATTTAAAATTTCTGTTTCTTTCTGTAATGTCCATACTAACTGTTTAACACAAAACATAACAAAATACCTAAACAATCTATCTCAACATTAAAGAAAAAAATTAAATATTAATAAAGATTCATTTTAAAAAAATCATATTTATAGATTATCAGCAAAATTGCAGTTGTAGTGAATTCAAAAATACAACAAATCGTATATAAATGTACGAATGGAAAAAAAAAACCAACGAACTCCAAAATTGCACTAATAGTTTGTATATGAACAATTTTAAATAGTAGTTCACAACATAAATGTTATAAATAATCTTTATTCAAATTAACTTAATACAAGCACTTTTGAATAGTCACATTTTTTTATTCTGTCACTCATTCGGAAAGTAGACTCATCACAACAAGAAACTTTCATGAAAATTGATTTGAGCGAAGCGAGATTGTGATTTATAAAATTATAACTAGTAATAAATGATTGTCCGATTTGATATAACCTATATGTACGGTGCGTCACCGTACAGCCATCAGCATTTTACACAGCTCCGCGTCCATATAACGCCCACACATACCGTTTTCCCTTCAGTACACCAAATACTCACAAGCAATCATTAGTCCATACTCAATCATCGTGTATTCAATACCGTCTTTATCATAAGGGCACACGGGGCCCGTGCCCAGGGCCCCCATTCTGAGGGGACCCCCGAAGACTGACAATTTTTCTCACACATTTATTCTCAAAAGATTTTTGTCGGGCACACTACACTTTTTTCACAAATCAGTAATGTCATCAGAAGGTATTTACAAGGCACATACTACGTCATTATACTGATAACTTCGCATATTCCTATGTTCTTATACCTAATGAGCTTTTTTTTACTTTCCAAAATGGCCCCGAATTCTTGTGCCCAAGGGCCCCAGCCTGGTTTAAGACGACGTGATTTAATACTCAATATATCAAGTTGGAAAGCAGCCCGGACTTATCATTTATACATCATAGCATTCAGGTTGTATGGGTCACAGCAGACTCATACAGTATACATACTGAGATTGTAGCTTTTTTTTCGGACTACTCTAATACTGTTGGCCGCAGTTGGCCTTTACAGCTTCACCGGACGTTAGGGGGCGAGTGCAGATGGCATTCCAAACAAAGCAAGGACTTATGGAGCGACTGAAGGCTAACTCCCGCCTGACAGATACGACTCTGTCTGAGGGCACCGTTACGGGCTCGAACCAGAATTGGACGGGGGATCGATCGGAGGTGGGATTGTAGCTGTAATATATCCAGTCTGTATTGATTCTTAGGTGACATAGTGGACGCTGTTAGCAGTTTTTTGAATAATTCGATGAGGCTGTAACAGCAAGACGAAAGTCGTGGGAGAATGTAGGGACAGTATTGGCGTCAGTCGTGCGTTGAGTGGGTGGCGGGGAAGGGGCGCGGGGCGGAGTGCGAGCGGTAGTGACGTCACGATATGTGCGTGTGAGCGGAGGGCGCCGCCCCCGCCCCGCCACGATATGTGTATGTGTGTGTGTGTGTGTGTGCAGGTGTACGCGGCGACGGTGCCGCACCCGTTCGCGTCGTCGGTGGCGCAGGAGATGTTCGAGAGCGGTCTCATACCCGCAGACACGGACTTCCGCATCTTCCGGGACTTCGGCAACCTCTCCGGTGAGTGTCCGCGCCGGGTGGACGACACTCGACTCGACACATTTTGAAAATGATTAGTCGCGCGTTTTTGTGGTGTGGTATATAACGGATGTGCATGTGCAGGTGTGGACCTGGCGTGGAGCAGCAACGGGTACGTGTACCACACCGCGCTGGACGACGCCAGCGCCGTGTCCGCGGCCGTGCTGCAGCGCGCCGGGGACAACGTGCTCGCGCTCGTGAGCGGCCGGGGACAACGTGTCGCGCTCGTGAGGTGAGTGGGGGGGGCGCGGCCGTGCTGCGCTCGTCAGCGCGCCGGGGACAACGTGCTCGCGCTCGTGAGGGGTGAGTGAGGGGGCGGCCGGGGACAACGTGCTCGCGCTCGTGAGGGGTGAGTGGGGGGGCGGTCGGGGACAACGTGCTCGCACTCGTGAGGGGTGAGTGGGGGGGCGGCCGGGGACAACGTGCTCGCGGGAGTCAGGGGTGAGTGAGGGGGTGGCTGGGGCACAACGTGCTCGCGACGGTCACCACAGTCTTATGTTGAAATATGAGACACCTAAGTGCGACTGATGATTGTATGTAGTTCACGACATACTGTTAGTGTACGACGACGTAGTTCAGACAGTACAACAGTTCGTCAACTGCAGGTCTGCTGTCGAGCCCCGAGCTGTCCCGCGCGGGCGGGGCTCGTGACCGGCAGCCGGTGTACTTCGACGTGCTGGGCGTGTTCGTGGTGTCGGCGCGCGCGCCGCTCGCGCTCTCCGTGGCCGCGCTCACGATCGCCCTCCTCGTGCTCAAGATACACGTCAACGCCACGCTCGCCGCACGCGACCGTGAGTCCGTCCGTTTATACTGATACGACTCGGTCTAATAGTTTCAATTCGGCTACCTTGTAAAATTTCTATGAATAATTTGGTTTCGAATATAAATTTGTGTCAGTGTTCGTGTCGCGGGCGGAGTGGTGGCGCGCGGTGGGGCGGGCGGGCGCGCGGGGCGCGGGGGGCGCGGCGGCGGGCGCGGCGGCGGGCGCGGCGCTGGGCGCGGCGCCGCTGCTGGCCGGCGCGCCGCTGGCGTACTACGCGCGGCCCGCGCTGCTGGCGCCGCTGTGCGCGCTGCCCGCGCTGGGCGCCGCGTGGGCGGCGGAGCTGGCGCGCGGCGGGCGGGCGGGCGCCGGGCGGCTGGTGCGCGGCTGGTGGGCGGCGCGCGCGCGGCACGACGCGGCCGCGGCGGGCGCGGGGCTGCTGCTGGCGGCGGGCGCGGCGGCGGGCGCGCGCTCCGCCTTCCTGCCGCTGCTGTGGGCGCTGCCGGCGGCGGCGGCCGACCTGGCCGCGAGCGGCGCCGGCGCCGGGCCCCGCGCGCGCGCGCTGTGCTGGTGCGCGGCGGCGGCGCTGCCGGCGCTGCAGTCCTGCTACCTGGCGGCGGGGTCGCTGGCCACGCTGGTGCCCATCGCGGGCCGCGCCGGCTCGCCGCCGCTGCCCGCCGACGTCAGTATACCGCCCGCTCTATACTACCATCGTAGATTCTCGACCGAAACGAACCGAAAATTTTGTCACGATAACGTTTAGTTTAGTCGATGCTCCCCTGAAATTTCTCGACGTATAGCCTATACGCTATCCGAGACTAAAAAGACGAACGGACGAACGGGACGCTGTAACCTTATGAACACAAAATGTGTGTATGTGATATATACATATCCGTATCGCTTACATCTGATCTACGCTAAGCTTTCAAAACTTACGATACTGCAATACTATTTAGCAGTGCTTAATTAAGTGTTTTGTATCTACTACGAGTGATATAAGTAATAAATTTATACACCTACATAATTTTACAATACAATGTGTTGACACTGCGTGTGCGTCAGGTGTTAATAGGTTTGGTGACGGCGGTGCTGGCGCTCACGGTGGCTAACTGGCTGCTACCGTTCGTGCTCGTGGTCAAACACTCGCGGAAAATAGTAAGTACAAGTTAAAATAAATGTCATAAATAAGTCATGGTAGTTATTATTGTAATATAAAAACGATAACATGTCGAGGAATTGAAAAACAGAATTGGATGCAAGCTTCTTGCTTTATTTATGCTTATTCACTGTAAAAAATAATTAATGTCGGTCCTAATATAAAGCCCTGTGGAACTACTCTTTGAATTAATTTAATTTAAATTGAGATTGTGCATATTATGTTTTTGAGTTTCAACAGATACATGAGATAACTAGTGAACTATTGCAAGGTGTTTTTATTACAACGATAGAACGCAAGTATATATATTAGAAGTTCTATATCAATAGTATCGAAAGCGTGTAAAAAATTTACGTGTATTATGTGTGTATCGGTGTGGGTGTGTGTTGAGTGTGCGCGTGTGCAGGCGTGGTGCATGATGGCGGCGGGCGTGGCGGCGGCGGCGCTGGCCACCACCATGGACCCCTACACGGAGCGACGCCCGCAGCGCCTGCTGGTGCTGGACACGCTCCGCACGCTGCACGTGCCCGGCCGCGAGCCGGTCGTGCAGCGCTACTACTGGGCGCCCGAGCTGGACGCCAACACGCGCCGCACGCTGCACGCGCGCGGTCAGTACCCCGCCTGTCGCGGCCGGCGATCGACGAGGTGGCGGCGAGCGAGCGTCCTGACCGCAGTTTTCGGTGCACAGTGTCGATGGCGGACGCGGCGGGCGCGGCGTGGGAGGAGCGGCCCACGGCGGAGGAGTGCGCGGAGTGGGCGTACTGCGGCGCGCCCTACTACCTGCCGGTGCTGGCGCTGGTGCCGCGCGGCCACGCGCTGCCCGCCGCGCCCCGCGCGCCCCGCGCCGCGCTGCTCGTGCGCGCGGCCGGGGCGCGGCTGCGGGTGGCGGCGCGGGGCGCGGCGCACGCGGTGGCGGTGGTGGCGCCGCCGGCCGGCGCGCGGCTGCGGCGCGGCGACGGCTCGCGGCCGCTGCGGGCGGCGCCCTGGGGCGCGCGCGACACCTACTTCTTCGCGCTGCACTCGGCGCGCGGCGAGCCGCTCGAACTGGAGCTACTGATCGACGGGGCACCGGACTTCACGGGCACGCAGGTGAGTGCCAATGCTGGAGTCCGCTTCGGGTTCGACTCCCCGTGTGACCGCCGCTCGTTGCAGGTGTCGGTGGCGGCGCACGCGCTGGCGGCGCCGCGGGCGGAGCGCGAGCCGGGGCTGCCGGCCGGCCCGCCGCCCCGGGTCAGCGTCACCGGCTGGCCGGTCGACCTACACCTCTACCGGCTGTAGCGCCGCCCCCGGCCGGTCGACCTGCACCTCTACCGGCTGTAGCGCCGCCGCCCGGCCGGTCGACCTGCACCTCTACCGGCTGTAGCGCCGCCCCCGGCCGGTCGACCTGCACCTCTACCGGCTGTAGCGCCGCCCCCGGCCGGTCGACCTGCACCTCTACCGGCTGTAGCGCCGCCCCCGGCCGGTCGACCTGCACCTCTACCGGCTGTAGCGCCGCCGCCCGGCCGGTCGACCTGCACCTCTACCGGCTGTAGCGCCGCCCCCGGCCGGTCGACCTGCACCTCTACCGGCTGTAGCGGCCCGATGAGCCCGGAAGACTCACTATCCCCTCGCTCACGCTCTGTGTAAAAACTTTCCTCCTTTTAAAAAGCCATCATAGACATCTGTAATAGTATTCACTTTCTTTACACAGTAGTGATAGTGGTGACTGGTGCTCAAGACGACGACCCTATACTACTGTAGACGTTATATATTTAAGTAGACAATACAAACATAATTACTACTCATCACAGTTCATATTATATTAACTAATAAATAGTAATATTAATGTAGCGAGGCGGGTTGTTAACTGTACTCAACTGAATACTGAACATACACCAATTAATTGTAAGTAATTGTGAAAATATCACATATAAATAATAATAATAATAATAATAATAATAATAAAGACATTTATTCAGCATTACAGTATTCTTAGATGCTATCTATCTTATATACTATACAATTTAAAAGCTAAAAGCTAAAACATACTAGTAACGCTGAATGTGACTCCCAATGACAATGTTTCCTTTCTTGTACCTCATTGCTAAGGTACATAAACTGAGGATTTAAAAAAATAGAATCTTCTTATCCAATTCTAAGTGATTTGCTCTCTAATGCCATGAAAGTAGAAAGTGATGTCACATTATCCATAATTTTATGATAAAAATGGCACAACGAAGCAAACACTGTCTACCAGCACTTGCAATATGTACAAAAGTAAGCAATACATTTGTATTTCTGCATATTTTTCATCCAAACGTTTGTAGTCTAGTATAAAACTTATTAAAAAGTATAACTTTAAAATACACATTGGATTGGTGCGTCTTGGAGCTACTTGGTGTGAAGAGGGTGGCGCCTGTATGATATGAGCATTGAACATAATGTTCAACACTTGCTGGGAAACATTGGCCTAAAACGTATTAAGTAATAGGCAGCATCACTACTATAGTCTGTTTCTTAATCCCGGAGACTAAATTGACGGGTGTAAATGTCAAATTTCCAAATAATGTTACCACCTACAGCGGGGTAGTGGTGTACCTGCGATACCAATTTGTTTAATCGGAAACTTTTATTTAAACATTAGTTTTAATAAAGCTTTAAAACTAATAATGACGTTTCCACAAGAAAATTTTAAAATTTACGTATATGTACTAGTGGTTCCATTACTCTGATCGCGTTATACAGCATAAAAATATATTTTTGTCGTTTCCGTGCAAATAGTATTTTTTACAGTATTAAGCTACAAACCAACTTTTTTTTTTCTTTCATACCTAAAATTTTTAATAGGTGTTTGTTTTATGATATATGACACTACAAAAAGGTAATTTATTTTATAGAAAGGCAGTCTTTATTATAGTGAAAAATACAATAACTATATATTTATGAATACCTATTGATACTTTATTACTTTTGTGTAAATGCGGTTTAAATGACACATTATTTCTGAAAAAAAAAACCTGGCAACATCGTAAGTGTCAAATTTGTCTCCGGGATTAGAATAACTAGTAGTAGCAGTACACAGACTATAATTATGTATATGCCGAGTGATCGAAGTGAGGTATGAGAATTTATACCTATACCAATGTGGTACAAGGTGATGGATTGACGCAATATTATTTTATTGTTGTTATTAATTTATGTATAGCTATTTATGGCCACGAGAGATTACTTACGGAGCACATACTCTAATTACGTGAACATATCACACGCATTCTATGCTATTAACGTAAAGCTGTGTATTGTTAAAGTTAATTACGTTGTGTACCTACTATGACACGTACATAATTGGGGCGTCCATAAATTACGTAAGGTGTTTTTTTTAATTTGACCTCTCTCCAACGTAAGATTAGATTAGATTTGACTCGACCCCCTTCCCTCATAAACAGCTCACGTAATTTATGGATGCCCCCTCATACGGTCACGGTGGGTGGTAACAACTGATCACGCCCGCTCTGTATTCTAACTAAAAGACAGATTCATTTTGTTATATATATATTTTGCATTTTATAATAATTAGACTGAACCGAATCGTACTCGCACTTTGCAAATGAACAAACAACTAAATGTAAGTGAGTATAGTGTCTAATTTTACACGTGTATGTTTGTAGGTAATATGCTGCTCACTATTGTATTTATATTTGTGACCATTACATAGTGTGATGATTTTTTAATGTATACAGTTGTTAAATTATGAAATAAATCAAATCATTATTACACCTGTTGTTTTATTTGCTGTTTCACCACGGCGAGCGTTCAAACCTGTACCCACTGTGTTTACACTTTTCACAACTTGAGGCCTCGATAGTCTAACGGTTTTGCTCAGAGTCCTTCACAATACATTTATGAAAATATCATGTATACACGGAAGAACTTAGAGAGTTTTAAAAAACTCAAAAACTGTACAAGTACAAACTTACGCAATATAAATAAGCTTATTTTACCTAAATGCCGTCTGCACAAAATCAGTAATTCATTCTATGGTAATTGCATAAGATTTTATAATAAACTGCCAGAATCTGCATTAAATCTGACAGAGAGGCAATTCAAATCTTATATTAAACAATTTTTATGTAAGAAAGCCTATTACAGGATAGACGTCTTCATAGATGACAACGTATCAAGTAAATAATTAGTTTGTTAGCATACAACGTTATAATTTTATTTTCTCATTGCTTTCTTGATTTAATTGATTGATTTTAAAAATATAAAAGCGTAGCGGTTTTTGTATCGATTGCCGCATGCATTCTTATGTAAAATGTGAATACTATAACTATCAAATGGCAATTGTGAGTAGCTTTGACGTGGTCTAGTGTTTTGAGTAGTCATGCTCGCTAAAATGTCCAGATTTGTGGCGGCGTGGTGGGTCGGGTTATTGAGCTCTCTAAAATATGGTCGAGCGCAGTGATGGCTGGCTCATCCGACATACTCGTGAACGGGTGCTGCTTGTAGGGACTGGTCTGCTCTAATCACTATGACTGATTTCCTCTTATTAATTGTTTAACCAGTTGGTTATATATTCAATATTTTTTCTATTTGAGTATTTAATTGAATTAGTGCTAATTGTTGGTTTGTATTCACACACTTAAACTTAAAAATGTAAAGTAATAATAAAATTATTTAAAAGAGCAACACGCAAGTTTCTTGCTCGTTCTTCTTGTGATGAGACAGCTTTCCGAACGAGCGGTAGATTAAAAAAAAATGTAATGACTATTCAAAAGTGCTTCAATGTAAGTTTATTTGAATAAATGATTTTCTATTCTATTCCTCGTACCGTAGAAACATTTGTATAATTGTTTGTATCTGTTTGGGTGTTTTCTATGTATATTGTACTAGCTTTTACCCGCGGCTTCGCTCGCATTGAATCCATTAAATATGTATCGGATATCATAGTCAATCAATTTTAATTTATTTATAACTTCATTATTGCCTGCTAGATGGCGCTGAAGTAGCGAAATGATGATATTTTATTTTGTTTTTTTTTTATATAAAAATATTTGTTTTTTTAATAAAAAGAATATCCTATGTGCATTCTAATACCTCCAAGGACATGTGTAGAAAATTTCATGATGTTCGATTCAGTAGTTTTTGCGTGAAAGCGTAACGAACATTCCTAGTTTCACAGATATAATATTACTAAGAATGTATTTAGAAAACAAATTGTACCTAAATATCAGTTATCTAATATACATAACACAAACTCAAGCTTAACGGCTTAGCTTGGAATTAGATGAAACCGGTGAATTCTCCAGGGTTACTATTATTATATCTTCTTCGGATATGACGTCACGTCACACTGGTATTAACTCTGCCCTGCCAGCAGCAAACTGCTGCTAAGAATGTTAACATAAATAGGATTTTAATAATTCTATAATGGATATAATTAGTAATCGAGTGTATCGTCAGGCGACCTCTGGACGCAGGATCATGCTGACCCATAAATTATATTCCAATTCAAATTAAAAAATCGTTTATTCTTGTAGGACATTTTAGCCACTTATGAACGTCAAATATTTTATATTATAAATTTTCCCTACCGTCCAGTTCAGCATATAGATCCAATTGAGAAGAACTGGCAAGAAACTCAATTGTACTACTTTTTTTTTAGAAACCAGATTATTTACAATATATATTTATATAGATATCTATGTCTAAAATTTAAATGAAAAAACCGTGCATGAACAACTATTGCCATGCACGCTCGTCATTCAAGTAATCGTTTAGTGAGGGGCTTTGCTCATATATATCATCTGCTACGGGTGCATCGCTAGCGTATACCTGTATATATATTAGTACAGGTGGGTGCAGCATTCCATATTTATCCATTAAAACAAAACACAATGTATCAACACACCACGGATGTCTTTGCACTTTATGATCCCGTTGTATCTACTGTCCTACCGAGTTCTATCAGCTCGTTTACCTATAAACATTTACTAAAACAAATTAAACAGGAGAATACAGTACATTGTTTACTGCAGGTGTCAGTGCTCCAATTCAAAATTAATTAATATTGTAGTATTAAGGTTGTAGCGCGGGGTTATGACCTCATCACTGGAGCGTTATATATGATATGATGAGGTGTCGCTACATATTTGTTTCCTATAGTACCTAAGTAGTGAGTATACAGATGTAATAATTGAACTACATTATTAAGTTTCTTTGAGAGTATAGTACATGGCTTATTAGTAATACTTACGCTCAACGTGGAGTTGTAACGAGAACTGACTTTACACTGAACT